ATGTATTTTTCTTATAATTAAAGTATTATATTAATATAAATCATATCAATAATAAAATTCTTTTTATTGTAATTAATTGGGATTACTTACTTGTATAAAATAAACAATTATAAAATTACCTGTATTATAAAAATTTAATAAAATGTTACCAATTGGGATATGCTATTTGTATAATAAGTAATAATAAAAATATTCCTATTGATGACTTAGGGATAACCCGATTGGATACTAGATGTTAATAAATTGATATCAATAACAATAATCTTATTGATATCTTTATAACACCCTGATTGGAACCTTATTGTATCCTATCTGCGTCATTAATTATTATCAATCAGGATCAACTGATTCTAAAAAAAACAAAAAAATAGAAGACCAATCAGGTCAAATCTGGCAATCCAGATTTGACCCGATTGGTCTCCTATTTGTCATCATTCAACTAGTGTAATGTTTCAACTCTAATTTCATTGCGAATCCTTTTGCAGTTTTCTATAAATCCTCGACTCTTATCCATTTTTATAAGTTGGAGAAAAGCGCCTATACTAGCTATAAGACTACAAAGCTTTTCAATAAAATATCTTGCAGAAAGACGTTTTTGATGCTTGACTTCAATGAAAGTTATTATAGCTAGAGACTCATTAACTTTATAAGAAATAATATTATTATTCCATTTTCGATGTAACTTTATTGTTGTGGGTAAATTATTAGGCTGAGCATTTGCAAGTTCTGCTTAAATATTTTTATGACCTGGTGGATGAAAAGTTCATTAGAATTTTTCTGATAAAATATAGAAACAATGCGAGTAGTACAATTCCAAATTCAGTAAAGCATTTGTGCAAGAGCGTCAACATGAACTGGAATGCAATATTTGTAATAGTTATAACTATATCGAAGTAGCCTGTAACTTCAAATAATATTTCAGCCTCTACGGTATTTGTATAGGCTATACAGTTAAGCTTATTTCAAGCAATATTAATATCAGAGAAGTCTTTTCGTCTCTGCTTTCCATTCATATCTCTATAGTATGCATGGGTTCTAATATGCGAATTATCAGATTTAGATAATTTAGATGCTTTTTCCACTAACGCTCTAGCCATCACTGCTTCAGTAGATACGAATGCTACGCATTTGCCCAGTTTCAAAAGATCATATCCTATTTACATGATTTCAGCTCTGCTATTCAGATCGTAAATAAACTCAACTGTCTTACCTATATGAGACTGATACTTATTATTGACTACATGAATATTTTTACCATGATAAACCTGGAGAAAGGTTAGTATTAATGTATTTGCAAAGGCATCCATAGCCAAAATATGTCTCACAAATCTTAATACATCATGTATTGCATTCTCAGATTTCCGTGTATTTGTATCGCTAGACATTTGACGCATAATGACATTAACTTTATTGAGAATAGCTACAAATAGACAGGCTGTGAACTCTATACGAAAAAGACTCTCAAACTGAATTATGATAATATCCTACTCATTTATAAATAAGTCTTCTTGTATATTTTGGTAATTGCAAATTCGAAAACCAGATGTTTTTAGCTCATCAAGTTTCATTTTGATTCATTGCTAAAAGACTTTCACCTAGATATAACATGGTAAAAAAGAGATATCATGTATCTTATTCAACGCTATAATAATCTCTCTTAATATAGTGGTTTTTCATGTTTTAGAAGGAGAACGAATAAGTGTTATCATTTTCTCAGTACTCAAGAAATTAGGATATACTTCTGGAATATTCCTTAATTTTCTACATTAATCATTGTTTCTGAGAATCTTACAAGAGGGCATGGATTTGATATAGTATCACCTATTCTTTCAACTATTTCTCTCTTAGGTTTTGCAGAAATTTCGATTGCTTTTTCAAATACTAATCCCTTATGATCTAGTTTATAGTTTTTTTGCCGATAATATTTGAATATAAAGCATCTGTTATTCTGAAGGAAACCATATAACTGGTCTTTTTCATGTATAATTTACAAATAGGACATGTTTAATATGATTATACTTAAAAATAAACAAATCTATTCCCAATCTTTCCAATCTCAAGCCATTTATATTTTACAATAACTTGATCAGTTTCTTTGCTTAAAACAGATTTATTTTTGAAAAGCTGAAATTTTATTTCTTCCTTCTCAAGAGAAAAGGTCTGTGACCAGATTTCAGAACAATAAAATTTGGGTTGAACTAAATAATCTTCTAGTTTGCAATACCCTTTCTTAATAGAAGAAATTGCAGGTCTTTTAACTTTATCATTCTTTGCCAATCTAAGAAGACAAAGGCTAAAACAATGCTTATAAAGCTCAAGATTAATAAACTATGAATATGGTTTTCTAACACTATTAGTGACTTTTTCTACAAAACTCCTGAGATATCTATAGTCAATAAAGTGAACATTAGAATATATAATATGCTAATTGCATTTATTATTATTATACGAACTAGCTAAAGCGAAAGCATTTAAAGTTATGAGATATTTTAAATCAGAGTATAAGATATCAGCACAAGTAATTAAGATTCTGAATAATAAATCATTATGATAAATTTTATATCTATCTAAGGAAGGGAGTTCAGGATTCATAGAATTGAGTTTCTACCTCGTATCAATATCCAGAATAAGACAAAAAGGCAGATTACCATCAATACATTCATGAGTATTATAAATCCCATAAACTTTAAATGAGTGATTAATAACTGTAAATCCTTTTCTTGTTACTCAAATGATATATTTATCAAAAATCTCTTCAGGCTAATAGGCTTCTAAAAGGGTCACATTTTCTTTAGTATTAAATGCTAATAAATGATGAAAATATGTATGATCATTATAGCTAAGCTCAAAATCAAGGTCTGCTACACCTGAAAAGAGCCTTATTACTTTATTTATTTCTATAGAGTTGGGTTCAAATTTTTTTTGCGCAAGTATCATGGAAGTATATGCAAAAAAGCAGTATAAAATTACATAGAAATCTGTAATTTTCAAAATAAATAATATAATGTATATCTTAGAAATGAAATAAAAATGCATAAAGCTATTTTGGCTTCTGATCTAATTACTAGTGCAAGTATGCAATATATATATTAAATAATACTTTAAAGTAATCAATGTAATAATATTCTGAAATAGCAACTATATGAAAAAAGTTCTAGAAAAGCAGAGACGTAAAGTAGGATATAAATTTGGTAGGCCATTCAAGCATAATTATATATAGGAAAAAAAAGAGAAATTATACTTGAGTGGCCTACTGATAATAGGCAGGAAAGAGGTCAGAAAGGTAAAAAGTCTCAGAAGAATACATGAAAAAAAGGTATAAAAGCTATAAATTCTAAACAATTCGGCACTTTGTGCCTTATTCTCAGCAATTAAATAGGCTATAAAAACAGGATTGCAAGAATGACACAATACTAGAACTTCGCATGTGTCTCACTGGCAATCAAAAATGGATGAATAGATTGCAACACATCTTTAGTAAATAGATAGATTGCAAATTCGACACTTCATGCCTCATCCGGCAATCAAGAAATAGCAATTGAGAGGAAAGCAATTATGTGAGAGTATACCGGCATTAAAATAATATCACAGTACTATAATGCAGTAAGACACAATATTAATTCACTTATTTTCATCCAATACCATTCCATAAATTTAGCCAGAAGTTTGAATATAATAATTCAGCACCTAAGCTAGCATAAATCTGGCGAACTAATAGAACTTCTTTGGCATCCTGCCAGTTTTGTAACAATTTTTTACAAGTTTCATAATAGTTCCATGACACTACTACAGCACTATCATGACGTTATCATGACATCAAATTGGATCCTCAAATCACATGCCCAAAAGATCAGCCAAAAATATGTATAGTGCTAGCTGAAATTAATCACAAATCTACTGCATTACCTGTCACCTCTTTTTTTTACACCATTTTAGTATTTTAAAAGGCAACCAAATAGGCGCAAAGGGTAAGCATCTCAATATAAAATCTAGCACTCAATCAGATGCAGAAGGCCAATATCATGATTATAAAACTAGGTATCCAAATAGCTACAGAAGGCTAACAACTCCCAATATAAAAATTAGTATATAAAAGACTCAGAAACAAGAAGAAAAGCATAGTATTTAGATCTAATAGTAATAGTTAGATTAAATAGTAGGTAGTAGTTAGATTATATGATGATAAAAAATATGAATAATAAGAAAGATTAAAAGGGATATCTGGAGGATAAAATAGATATCTGAGATAGAAAAACAAGTAGATTATATGGTGATATTTAGATTATATTATTTAGATCATATGGTGGTGTATAGATTATATTATTCAGATTATATGGTGGTATTTAGATTATATGTAGTATCTAGATTATATGGTGGTATCTAGGTTATAGGGTGATATTCAGATTATATGGTGGTACTATAATCTAGAACAAGTGGTATAATACTAGTAAGTTCACGTCAATAATATTTAATTTAAATTTCCAAAAAGTTATACCATAAGATGTATTTTAGGATTTATTTATATATGTCTTAATAATTATAAACAAAAATATTTATATAGTGCTTCGAGTTAGTCAATTTGACTTAGGTCATTTGACCTGACTCAAGAAAAAATTTGAGTCAAGACTCTTATTTTATATCATAAATCCTAATTTCTTAAAACTCGCTGGGTTAGAGTCTCAATTTTGCTTAACCCATGTGATCCGAATGATCAGATGATGTAATTTAAATGATATAATAAAACTTCTCTTGGAAAATAAAAGGTATTGCGAAGTAAACTTTTTTCCAAAGTACTTTTTGAAAAAAATATTTTTTACCTGAACACAAAAATTCAAAAACTCATAAAGAAGTTAGATGTTTTAACTGCTCGTATGTATTTATAATAGAGTAAAATGTAGTATATTATAGTTTATTTTTTCTTATTTCTTTTAAAAATATTTTAGGATACATAAAACATAGCTTCGAAAGATTGGAGATTCAAATACAATAAATCTTTAGCGTCATTATCATCCAAATAAAAATCCAAAAAAAATCAAAATACCTAATAGATGAAGAACAAAGTACATTAGATAAATTTGTAAGTATAGAAGAGACTTTAACTAATGTATGTATTTTATTATAAAAAAAATATATTTTTTTACGTTAATTTTATTAATTTTATTTGTATTTTTAAGTTTACATAAAAAGATTTTCGTAAATTTATTTCCAAATGGATAATTACTGATGATTAACCATTTACAATGCTTAAAAACAAGTATTTTTGACAAATAATAAAGTTTTTAAATTCTAATGCATTAATACTTTCAGCAGATATAACAAAAAAAGATATAATGAAAATTTTTGAAATGGAATAAATAAAAATGAAAATGTTATTTTAAGTGAGTTTAAAATTTATGTTTAAGTATATTTTTTAAAAAATTATTTACTTTAAATTATATTTTAACAGAATATATCTGGAAGGATTTTATTGCTTTAGATACATGAACATTCATAAATGGTTATGCTTTTTTAACTATTACAATACATTGGATTTCAAAAGATTAGAAATTTTAAGATAATTTACTTGACTTTATAAATCTTTGTGATCCTCATTCTGATGAAAATCTGTGTGATATTTTTATAAAAAGTTGTAATGAATTTGGAATTTTAGCAAAAGTAAATAATTTATTATAATTTTTTTTATTTTTAAATAAGTATTAATAAAAAATTTGATTATTATAGATTTTGCAATTACAAGTAATAATGCTGGAAATAATGATACTTTTATGAAAGAATTGGAAGATATTTGTCAAAAAAAAAAATATTATGTTTAATGCTATTAATGCTTATTGCCGTTGTATTGCTCATATTATGAATATATTTGTACAAGAAATTTTAAATAAAATTAAAGCAGGAGAAGCACAAACTGAAGATGATGTATTAAATGATATAGATGTAAATAGAAATGTTGAAGAAATAATTCCAAAGGTAAATTTTAATATTTTATAAATTAATATTTAATTTAATTATCAATATTATTATATTAATTAATTATTTATTTATTAGCTTTGAAAAATTATAGTTAAAATACAATGTCGAGATCATTTTACACGTCATGCTGAAGCAGCTGGTCTTAAAAATCTTAATCTTATTCTAGATGTAAAAACAAGATGGAATTCAACTCATGATATGCTTAATAGAG